GAGCGGGAAGGAAGGTGAGGGCGAAGGGCCACCCGGCCGGGCGCTCGCCCCTGCTCGGCTTGACGGCGGTCTCCTCGGGCCGGCGGCCCAAAATTCTCCAGAGGGCTTCCTTCACTGGACCCCGCCTTGAGAAGGGGGTTAAGAGCGTTGTTCCTGGAAGACCCGCCGCCGTGAAGGCAAGCTGGAAGGCGGTGCCTCTGAGCATGTGCAGAGGGGCCCTTCCCCCACCCCTGAAACAGTGTTTATGACGGGGTTTGATAAACAAATACCACGCTTGTTTTTATCCAATGAAACGGCTTCCCATAATTTGGGCTACTTTTACTGTGCATCTTATGAAATGAGCGCAGGTTTATAAGTACCACCCCTGCATTGAGTGTCTGTGGCTGAAGAATTTGAATTCAGGACTCCTGAGTTGTACTTCCATGCTCAGACCCTCTGTAAAGTGGAGAGCGGCACTTTGGCCTAGGGCTCCACTTCACAGAGACTTCACCTCAGGCTAAAGCTAAGTAAAATGATATTGTTATGCATTTTACAGTTATTGTTTTTAAATGTTTACATGCCATTCCTTGCATTAAAATAATTTTTATCCCCTTCTCAAATACGGCAGGGCGTCATGATATGAAAGGCCCAGGTCTCATCTGAGGGTCTGGGATAGACTGCACATACTCTATATATACTGCATCCCATTGGCTCTCAGTGCTTTAAAATTACTCTTCCTAATGTATTTTCTTATCTTGTGTGATAACTTTTTTCCTTGTAAAGAAGGTAGGGTATACATGTTTAAACAAACAACTTTCCTTGTTCCGTAGCATATGGGAGTAAGAGGAAAGGCACATACTGTATAGTACCGAGGCGGTGTGCACGTATAATACCCAGGCAGAGCTAAGTTGAAGTTTAGTTTTTAACCACTCAGTTTTCTTTCCATGGTGCCCTGTTTTCCCGAAAATAAGACCTAACCTGAAAATAAGCCCTAGTATTATTTTTCAGGATGCTCATAATATAAGCCCTACCCCCAAAATAAGCCCCAGTATTTGAATAAATGTAGATGGTTGTACATGAAAAATACTAAAACATCCCCTGAAATGCCCTAATGCATTTTTGGAGCAAAAATTAATATAAGACCCTGTCTTATTTTCGGGGAAACGCGGTATCTCTTTTCCATATGAGCATTTACACATTTTCATTTTGAGTGTTACAAGCATTCTGATATTCATCTTCACCTTTTCCATATGTGCATTTACACATTTTCATTTTGAGCGTTACAAGCATTCTGATATTCATCTTCACAAAGACTAATAAATTTTATTTTAACATTCATAATCTACACTTCATTTCATCAGATACTATCTATGAAAGCTAATGCCACAGTTGCTAATATACATAAACTTGAGAATGGGGGAAAGAATTTGTAATTAATAGGGATCAAAGGACACTGAAATACAGGAAGTATGAAATATTAATTTATTACTACATTAGGAGTAGTCATTAACACAGCCAAAAATAGAAAGGAACAAACAAACAGAGTCTATTAAGAAGGTTGACCGCCAAAGAATTGATGCTTTTGAATTGTGGTGCTGCAGGAGACTCTTGAGAAGTCCCCTGGACTGCAAGGAGAACAAACCTATCCATTCTAAAGGAAATCAACCCTGTGCGCTCACTGCAAGGACAGATCCTGAAGCTGAGGCTCCAGTACTTTGGCCATCTCATGAAAAGAGAAGACTCCTTGGAAAAGACCCTGATGTTGGGAAAGTGTGAAGGCAAGAGGAGAAGGGGACAACAGAGGATGAGATGGATGGACGGACAGTGTCATCGAAGCGACCCAGATGAATTTGACCAAACTCCGGGAGGCAGTGGAAGATAGGAGGGCCTGGTGTGCTCTGGTCCATGGGGTCACAAAGAGTTGGATATGACTTAACAATAATAAACAGCACTTGGATGGTAACACAGCCATCCTTGAGCTGCTGAATTGGTTAACACTGTAAGATGATGAAAAGATTGTCAGTCTGAAAGGGAAGTCTGGGTGAAGCAATCTTTCAAGTCTGCTTTGTTAAAAAAGGAAAAGGCATTCAGGGTTTTGTAAATTTTGTAGCAATAGAACACATTACAGTATTTATTTATGTGTCATTCCTGATTTAAAACTTGGCATGGCTGTATAGGAAGGGTGCAAACCATAGATGATATTGCACTGTAATTCCCATCAATATGAATCAGCATAATGCTATGAGACTATGGCAGTTGTAGTCCAAGAACATCTAGAGGGCCATGTTTGGTCAGTATAGGATACTAATATTGTTTAACACACATTGGGTACTAGTAGCCAATAGAAATTGAGTCTAGATGGCCATGATTATAATGATTTTTTTGTTTCAAGGAGGTTGCCATATTACTCTCTTGCAGCTGGAAGAAAAAAAAACACCTATATTACTAAAACAGCTGATTGGATAGCTCAATGATTTAGGTATCTGGTTGCGGAACCACAGGTTGGAAGTTCAATTCCCCGCTGGACCTCCTGTGCAGTAAACCGAACCTAGGCAGCCTTGGGCAAGCTGCACAGTCCCAGGACACCCTCAGAAGAAGGGAATGGTATTATATTCCTAAATATATTATAACTAAAAGATTTTATTTGGCATAAATTTCTAGGGACTCAATTGTTCAGATTTCCCTTGTCCATGAAAGCTTTTGCCAAATAAAACTGGCTAGTCTTAAAGGTGCCACAGGATCCTCCAAAAAATTCAAAATTAACCAATTGCTTAAAATAAACATTCAATTTAAAAATTTGAAATACCCATAATCCAAACATTTTAAAAGGGGAAATTGTGTTAATGCATTCAGGCAAAATGACAAATACATCCTTTAGGACATGGGGACCAGTTTGTTAGATAAAGACAACTAGTTTTCTGTCTTGTTCTGCAGGGGCTGAACAAACAGCCAGAAATAGAAAGGAACAAAAACAGAAGCGGCCAGAAATCTATTCTCAGTTTTGATGAATGGGCAGTTCAGGATATGAAACAGTGCAGGGACACCCATAATTTATTTAAAAGGTGAATCTCAATCTCTTGCTGAAGGATTTAAAAAAACAAAACAGGGAACTTTGTAGGCCAAAGGCTGCAGAGCCTACTGAATGTGCCAAACTGCATATTGCCCACTCTTGCTTTTAAAGGTAAAGGTAAAGGTTCCCCTTGACATTTAGTCCAGTCGTGTCCGACTCTAGGGGGCGGTGCTCATCCCCTTTTCCACGCCGTAGAGCCAGCGCTTGTCCGAAGACAGTTTCCGTTGTCACGTGGCCAGCGTGACTTAGGCATGGAACACTGTTACCTTCCCACCGAGGTGGTACCTATTTATCTACTCACATTTGCATGCTTTTGAACTACTAGGTTGGCGAGGAGCTGGGACAAAGCGATGGGAGCTCACTCCGTCGCGTGGATTCGATCTTACGACTGCTGGTCTTCTGACTCTGCAGCACGGAAGCTTCTGCGGCTTAACCCACAGCACCACCACGTCCCAATCTTGCTTTAGGACAGGCAAATCTATTTTACAGATGCATGAAATGCAGTACTGTGGTTTTGGGTTTCCATTGTACAGCATGGATCAGAGTTGCATCAGATATGAACACGTATCCTCAGTTTTGGAATACCTTCATTGGCTCCCTGTTTGTTTCCATGTTAGGACCTCAGCCAGTTTAGGACCTCAGTATTTGGTGGAACATCTCTCCCACAAAATAGCTACCTGTCCTGCACGCTCCTTGCAGTCCTTGTTGTTAAGTATTGTAAGTGTTGTAACCCCCAAGCAGGCCAAAAAAGCCAACACTAGGAACCAGGTGTTCTTGATTGTGGCCCCTTCGCTTTGGAATAAGCTTCCTACAGAAGTTGGCCAGGCACCATCCCTCTGTGTTTTTAGGAGGACAGAATTGTATGAAGTTGAGATATTGTCCTGAGATACTCAAATTGGTTTTAATTTGCGCATTTCTATTTAAAAGTAGGTTCATTGTTTTAGCTAGTGACAAAGTTTATTTTTTTAATTGTATCTATTGTATATATAAAAAGCAGCTGCAGTATTAGTATCTGCTATGAATGAGTAGTACAGACACCCCTGGTAAGGGAGATAATAATGTGACAAGCATCTGTTACAAGTACAAAGCTTTGTTCAGCAGTTTATTACCTGTAAAGTACAAAAATGAGGATTTCTGTTTTCAGTTTTTGTTTCATTCTGCTATGCTAATATCAGAGTGTCCTATTAAAGCATGCCAAGAATTGTGTCTTGTAAATGTAACATTTGGCCACACACTAAATCTCTTGATCTTTACTTGCTGTTTACTAAGAAATCATGATCACAGTTCAAAGCTTTGGGGATGGATTCAAAAATTTGTGAATGTAGCTGATCTGCCTTTCCTTGAAAATTTTTGTACCATAGTTGGCCAGTTCCTTTAGCCACCATTGAGATTAGTGATTGTCTGCCCTGGGAGACTTAAATGTTCACTTGCTGGGTTTGGTCTGTTGTCATTTCTGATGTCAGATTGTTCTCCATTTTACATAAAAATCTCTTTTATGTAGAGATTCTTATGCTGAACTATGTAAAATGCAGAGGGTCATTGCTGACAGAAAATGATATCACAGCAGATAAAGTTTCAATTGACCTGGGAGGTCTCCTAGCTGGATAAGAATTATCCTCCTCATCTTCCCCCTCTTCTGCTGGTTCCTCCTACCAAAAGTGGCTCATAGCATGGCTATTTTGACTTTTATTATGGTGATCCACTTAGTAAATATGCTTTCAAAACAGTTGAGAAAAAGATTTGAGAAAAAAATTGGGGTTAGACAGAATTGCTGTCTTGGAAAGGCAGCATCATCAGAAGCTGCATAACATATATGGTGGATGTGTTCATTCCCTCTTGCATTTCCTGCC